ACTTTTGCCCGCGGCAGACCAGATAGAATATCGTGCTCATAGACCCGAAAGGGATCCAGATAGTACGTTAAATTGATTCTTATTATTATTAAATTGATTCTTATTATTATTATTCCTACACCCTTTCAGGCCGCGCTGGCCTATGCGGGGATCTAGCTATCTAATATACACTACGTAACTAATACTAGCTGTGAAGTGCGAGATACACGATCATGACCTATTATCGCTGCACTAGGGTCTGTTCTAGAGTAACACTCTTCTTGCTGCCGGCAAAGTGTCGAGGTAGCTCTGTAGGTCCCATCCGCATATTCTCTTTCTATTCGAATCTCCTTGCGTTTAATCTCCCAGTGTCCTTAACAAAGGAAATTGTGTCTCGTACAGTTTGCATACTTGGTTGCCAACTCTCTATCGGTCCATCTAGCTCTTGAGATGAGTACGCGCCACACATTTTAGCGACTGTAAGCTTCCTACGCTGATCTTGACTCCAATATCGCTGTCGCTGTTGGGCCCATCTCGGGCATGCTAACAAGAAGTGTTCCACTGTTTCTTTCCGGCCACACTCGCAGAGTTCGCTGTCGGTTTGCCCGATCTTATACAAGTAGCTGTTCAACCTACAGTAGCCTCCTCGTAGCTGGGCGAATATCGCCGCGTCGATCCTATTCAACCTGTCGTAGAGTTTTCGTGTGTGCCTTCCGGGGAGCGCTGCGTCTAGTTCTTTCAAATGTCTGGCTACCTTTAGTGACTGAAAATGGGCGCGCTTCTGTTCTTGAGAGTGTTTGTCCGGTTTTTGGCTTTCACGCAGTGTGATCTTCCTATCAGTTGGGCTACGGCCGGTTTCCGTGGCCAAGTAGGCTAGATTGTCCGCCATTTTGTTTCCTAGAAGGCCTGCGTGAGCTGGTACCCAGTTGAACTGGACATTGAGTTGCTGTTGTTTTGCTGCCTGAATAAAGCTAAAGATTTGTCGTAATGTTTCGTTCTTATGCCGAGCCCGCCGTATACCCCGGCGTTAAGGAGCATATATCATTTTCAATGATGGGCAACGATGATCGTGCAGACTACTTTGCGAGATACACAAATATCTCTATCAGTCGCATCAAGGTCCGATGAGTCCAGAGTGCCAGCAGCTCAATCGATTATTCTCGATAGCTGTAGATGGCAACACCGTACGTATACCCGCTACCCTGGAAGATCCACCCGAGCCTCTGACCAGTGCCCCTCCGTTCATCCTTGATATTCTTCATTCTGCCGCGAAACAAGAAACTGAGGCGGCTACCAAGGATCATATACCCCTTTTGGATTATCCTATTAATATAATGGATTTACTCATTAGCAAAGACCTCATTGCCATAAAGGAGTTCGACCTAGTTCAGCTCACTGTCCGTTGGTGCAGGCGCAATAATCAAAGTTTCTTAATTATTCTAGTTTCTTTAACTTCAGAGCATTGACCGACGAGGAGCAAAGGTGGCTTCTCGGAGAGTTGCCGCCCACGAATTCTGCTCCTGGGATTGCCAGAAACGGGCTATTACAGTCAAGCCTCGTACTACCGGAAGAACTTCATCGCTTCGGGCTTGACCATCATGGTCTTCACTGGAAATGTGTCTTTAATTCATCTTCCGAACGAATGGGGCGGTTTATGAGCAGCACCTGCCGGGCCTAGGAGATATTTCACAAGAAACTCATTTTGTTCCGGCCTGACGAACGCCTAGTGCTTGCTATCTATATCCCGAATAAATTACCAAAGGCAAGCGAAGCGCATGTTGGCTCCACTGTGCGGGTTTTTGCTTTACCACAGTCTCAAGGGGCAAATTCCCCAGAGTATCGCGTTAAGCCTACTACTGTTCACTATCGACTGTACTTTAATGAGTCTACTTTCCAACTCTATGATAAAAAGCGGGAGAACACCTTCGTTTTCTTGACACGGGGTCAAATGGATATGTCTTCTTTCCCTAGAAGTGGGAAAAAGGGTGATACGCGGAGACGGAAGCAAGTCACAATTGACGAGTCGATCAGCTTTGATTTCAGGGCAAGCATTGCGCTTAACAAGATCAGCAAAGATGTACAGACACATGTCGGACGAATAAATAGAGCAGGAATACTGGCTGCTGTGAGTATCAAATTCCGTGTCTCTTTATGAACCTAGGACTGTAGGCTGACTCCTAGTCCTGTTATTTCCAGGAAGCATATGTGATCAGCAACCGTGACGTGCAGTCCATGGATATATTGGATCAATGGCTTCATTATATTGACACCGAAGAAATACTTCCGCTCTTCGATAAAATCAACAAAGACTATAACAAACCCAAGCTCCCAGGCATTGACTGGGGCGATCCTGGTATTTCACAACGGGTGGTTGAAGTTGTAAGGGACAAGAATCTATCCAAATTACGAACAATCAACTCATTTGGCGAAATTAGGCAGATTCTGGAGCTCCTCGAGTCGTGCGACGAGTATTTACATCTCCGAGTGGTTTATATCGAACTACTTCGCCTCGAAGCTAATGGGACTTTTGAAGTCACGCCGTATAGCCGTGGCGCCTGCTCAGATGTTCCAATTTTGCTTCTCAATTTTCTTCAAAAGGCTCCTTATCTGATCTCTCTATTTTTTTAGTCTCAGACTTGGGCGCGTCAAAAAGAGGCTCTTTATGACATCTTCACCGATCTTGGCCCAGCACTCCTGAAGGAACTAGTCTTGGCCGCAAATACCTTCCAGTATGCCGTCTATCAATCTTTTCTGCTTTTACTGCAGAACTTACAGCAACTCTCCCTTCACAACTTCGCCGACCTGGTCGAACTTATTTCACTGACCATCTGCGATGCCGAGCTTGCGATTGAGCTATTGCTCGAGTGTCTCGAACCGGAAAGCCAAAGACTGTTGGTCGGCAATGCAATAGAAATCGACCAAATTACGAAGTGCTTCATAGGACTTGCACTTAACCACATCGACATGATTTCCAATGCCCAAAGATTTGCTATGTCTCCGATACCGCTAATGTTGAAAGGCGTTGGTCAAGATGGCTACTAGGTCGCCATGAGTGTGCTCCGAATTGACGCTCCTAGATCACTTGATGTGGGAGACCATGTCCGAATGTGTCCATCCCAGCCACCACACAATGCTCCAGTTTAGCAAATGAGTGCGATTGATGCTATAGTTATCCGGTCGGACCTAGCGACGGCTTCCTTTCGATGTCTGCATCGTTTACCATCTTATGCAGAGGACTGTCTCTGGGAAATCACCAGCTACAGATCCTTTGTGACCGCTAAGACCATGTTCGATGCAGTCCACTGTTTTTATTCACAAAAGGTAGAGTGTTGCAAGCTGTACACAACACTCGCGGGCCTTGGCTCCAGTCAAATTCAGACTCTACAAAAAGCGCAGCCGTTCAAGCCCTATCCGATGCTGAATAATAGTCAAAACAAAGCACTTGAAGCAACAATGGCGAATAATTGCACCTTCATTTGGGGGCCACCAGGTACAGGCAAAACACATACAATAGCCGTCATCTTAGAACAGATGCAGATCTACTTCGAGCATTTGAGGATACTAGTAACGGCACCCACACATAGTGCGGTAGACAACATTCTCAGAAGTTATATAGCGCAGTAGGGAGCAAAGCAAACAGGAGCAGTTCCGTTACGGGTCTCTACACGTGTATGTCTTTGTCCGTTCTATTCTAAATATTGCGATGACTGACATCCAATGTAGCTCCAAAAGGTCTCCTTAGACCTCCAGCAGTATACCTGTGATGCCATGTTTGGGAGAAACATTACAGAGAGCGCTCATGGTCATCAAGAAGCCCGGGCTCGTGTTCGTGAGGCACAGTTGATATTTACCACTTGTACCGGTTCCGGACTCGGCCTATTGCGTTCCGAAAAGTTCGACATTGTTCTCATCGACAAGGCTTCTCAACAGACCCAGCCAGAGAGCCTTATCCCTCTTACTAAAGGGTGTCAGCGGGCAGTCTTTGTCGGTGACCATGCCCAATTCCATGCCACAGTTCAGAAACATGCAGTTGTTGCTGACTTCGATACTTCCCTGTTCGAAAAGCATTACAATATGCCTGATATACCCGGAGTTGCGAAGGTTATGCTTGACACTCAGTACAGAATACATCCCGACATCTGCGCTTTCAGCTCGAGAGAATTCTACAATGGCGAGCTAAGGTCCGCAGAGATCAACTCGGAATTGATCTTGCCTCCGTCCAAATTTCCATGGCATAAACGAATGGTCTTCTTGCAGTGCTCTGCTCCTGAAGATCTTGGCCACCAATCAAAGTCCAATCAGGGCCAAGTGCAACTCTGTAACGTGGTTTATAAGTTGCTCCAGGTCCCTGAATCGGTAAATCAGTCGAACCCAACACGCAAGCCAATGGAAATCGTCATAGTAACGCCATACACACGACAAATGCAAATTCTCAAACGCACCCTCCCTAGCTCGAAGGTTCTCTGCATTGACGGGTATCAGGATTGGATGGCCGACATTGTGGTTTTTGTCAGCGTACGATGCAACGTCCATTTTGACATTGGCTATCTCCAAGACAAAAAGCTCTTAAATATGGCCCTGACGCGAGCCAAATCAGGTATCATCTTCATAGGCGACAGATTAACACTGACTGGTATGTCAGAGGGTACCCCTGAAACGGAAATCAAGGCGATTTGGGCTAGACTTTTGAAGAGCTGTGCGCAGTTGCAACTTCAGACAGACACCTCCTAGGTGGCTTGAGGAAGGGAAGAGAATACTCCGATGAGATTATGGATCATGGCGTAAGAAGAGAAGTAAATATAAATTATGAAGACGTTTTGAGACGCTCGCTACTACCTCGGCTTCGTTCTTTATAGAATCAAAACGCTCCATAATATCGCGATCGGATTCGAACTAACTTAAATCTTTTTATTTATAAAGACACTTATTCCGATTCAAGAAACTACGAATGATATTCCCTTCCTCAATTCCTCCAACATTGGCACTGCTGTCCCTAACCCCTGAACACACTTTAAAAGCGTATTCTTCAAGTATTCCGTGCTAGCAGCAGAGTTCTCCACTTGCTCTTGAAGGTGTTGATTACTCTCACATATCTTACGTAGCTGTTCTTCTGAACTCTCACGGAGTCTGCGGTACTGTTCATCTGTAAGTTTTGCTCGCTCAGATTCTACGACGGCCTTCTCCTTCCATGCTTCCATCTCCTCCAGCAGCTTGATATTTGCACTTTGAAGATGCTCAATCTTCGTGCTAAAGCTGATGTCGTCCAATTGTAGCTATATTATGTAATTAGAGAAGTCTGAGGACACGGTATATTTGACTTACCGGTGTTAGCTGATTTAATTTGTTTGTATCATTCGTACTTGCATACACTGCCTCAAATGAGATTCCAACACCTTCGCATAAGGCTTTATATGCATTAATAGAATGCTGACTTAGATTCTTAGAGAAGATCTCCGAGAAAGCCAGATGCTTCTCAGGCAAGATCTTCCAAGCGTATGGATCATTTGGTCCCGGACTGAGACGAACTTCGGATGGCTTTACCATGATTCCAAGCGTGTTTCCTTTAAGTGTTTTTAGCAAAACGCTGATAGAAGTCTTTAGTGAACTTACGAATGTGGCTTGAGAGTCTCTCTCGACACGACACCCTCCAATTATCGCGGTCAACGTTACTCTGACGCATCTTTCCGTTCCCGATTGCGTCCTCTTCTACACTTCTACAGCGAAGAAATGCCTGGAGGAACGAAGTTCCTTAAGGTCTTTGGTCGCACGAGGGGAGACAACAAACTTTCTAACTAGACCTTAAATCACATGATATTCACGTGAGTTTTACGTGGTTTGTACTCCTCCTACCCCAAGTCCCCAACCTTCGTCGACAATCCAAA